GAGCAAGCGCTCACAGGAGACAATTGATGGTCACTGGTCACATGTTCGCCAGACCTTACTAGCAGTAGGCAAATCCTCATGTGGTATGTCTAATAGACAACATGGACATTGGGTCTCTTCGCAGTCTTTGCAACTTATAGATGCTCGCCGGCAAATCCCGGCTGGAAGCGAGCACAATGAAACTCGCAAAGAGTTCCGGGCAAAACTCCGTGCTAGCCTGAAGAGAGACCGCGAATCTTGGTGGTCTCATCGTGCGTCAGAGATGGAAGTGGCCGCTGCCCATGGCAACCATCGTAAGTTATTCCGTCTGATACGGGAAACGGGCAGCAGGAGACCTGGTGTTAGTGAAACTATACGTGACGAGAGTGGACAGCCTATCCACAATTTGTCAAAACGTCTGGAGCGTTGGGCTGAGCATTTTGAAAAGCAATTTAATCGGCAAGAATTGTTCAATTCGCCGGCCAGTGATCGCCCTGCTCCGTGGGTTGTCCCCTTGGATCCACCCACTCGCTCAGAAGTCGAACGTGAGATCGGACTGTTGTAGTTGAACAAAGCCGCGGGACCAGATGATCTTTCTCCTGCCCTCTTCAAAGTTGGAGGCTCTGCTCTTGCTGATGCTTTGCATGAATTACTAGTGAAACTGTGGGAGCAGGAAACTGTCCCAACCGACTGGAGCCGCTCCGTTATTGTTCCCATCTTCAAAGGCGGCTCGCGTTCGGAATACGGCAACCATAGAGGAATCAGTCTGAGCTCCATCGCCTCCAAATTACTCGCGTCCATAATTCTCCACAGACTGACTGGCGCTCGTGAAAGTCCGATTCGTGAGGAGCAAGCCGGGTTTCGTCGGGGTCGTGGCTGCATCGACCACATCTTCACCTTGCGTCAGTTGTTGGAGCACCGTCACACATATTGGCTGCCCACCGTAGTCGTGTTCCTCGACATCAAAGGTGCCTTCGATTCGGTTGATCGATGTGCCCTTTGGAATTTTCTACTCAGGAAAGGCGTGCCCGAAAAATAAGTAAATATCATCCAAGCATTATATGCGCGTAGCACGGGCAGAGTAAGGGCTTACAGCAGGCTGTCGCCACCCTTCAATATCTCCAGCGGTGTGAGACAAGGATGCCCGCTGTCACCTTTCCTATTCAACTTCGCTATTGACGAAGTCATGGAGATTGCATTTACAGGACATGACTTGGAAGGTGTGGAGCTACTCCCAGGAGAACGACTTCTTGACTTGGAGTATGCAGACGACATTGCCCTCATCTATGACAGCTCCCAGACGTGTCAAGCCGCGCTGGACAGATTAGCACTGGCTGTCAGTCGCTTCGGGCTTTGCTTTGCACCACTGAAGTGCAAAGCGTTCCTCCAGGATTGGCAGGGTTCGCCCCCTGTGCTGACCCTTGGTGGGGATCAGCTAGAAGTCGTTCAGAAATTCAACTACCTGGGAAGTTGTATCAGCGCCCTTGGGATCGAAAATGAGATCGAAAATGAAATCACGAACCGCATAGCGAAAGCTCGAAGTGCTTTTGCTAACCTTCGCCACCTATGGCGACGGCGCGACATTACTCTCGCCCTGAAGGGTAGAGTGTACAATGCAGCGGTACGTTCGACCCTACTGTACGGTTGCGAAACCTGGCCCCTAAGATCGGCGGAAATGAAGAGGCTACTTACGTTCGACCATCGGTGCCTTCGCAGTTTGGCTCACATCTGGTGGGAACACCGCGTGAGTAACGAGCGTGTTCGACGCCTTGTTTACGGCCTAGGAAAAGGGAATGAACCGCTCAGCACCGTCATTTCACTCACCAGGATCCGATGGCTGGGCCACGTGTTGCGCATGCCAGCCCACCGACTTCCGCGACGTGCGTTGTTTGCTCACCGGGGATGTGGTTGGAAGAAGAGGAGAGGTGGCCAAGCGATGATTCGGTCCAGAGGAATGAAGGCCCTCACTTCGGAGCTGGCCTCAGTTGGAACTTCACGGCTCCCTGGTTGGGGTCCAAAAGACGGTGAACACGTTTGGCTGGATACACTTGCTGATATGGCAAGGAGCCGACCTCAGTGGTGTTCCTGCTGTGAGTTTCTTTGTCCCTCCCCATCCCTTTAGCCTCCCCCTCCATCTACGATCTTATTTCATAGGGTAAAACGTAATTAAATTTTTGTTTTTGCCTAGTAGCCGGCTGGTAGCTTACCGGAACGATGCGTATCCGTTGCTGGTAGCTCAGCTGGCATTCAGCTGTCGTATTTATTTTTCCTTTATCTATTGTATGTATGTATGTATTTCCTTTATGTATTGCGGTACAAGAGCGGAGGTGTTTTACCATCTCTAGCTGACATGTATAATGAGGATGATGCTCAAGAGAGTGATAATGAACACTCCTCTAGGCCGTAGTGACCATGCGACTTCACATTGCATGTACTCTTGCTAGGCTGAATATCTCGAGGATAAAACGCAAACGACGCGACCCATAACCAGTTACGACACCTTAAACCGGTTCGTTGAAGCGACCGACTGGAATTTCCTAACCCAGGATCTATCGGATATTGCGTGAAAACGTTTCGTCAATAAGTCTGATACCTTGGTTAGTGAAGCCTTGGAAACCAAGTTCGAGAAACATCGCGTCGTTTATACGGAGTAGAAAACAAACGTATGGTGATGCGCAAAGCAGCGTAGTATACCCACAAAACCGATCCGAATCCGAGTAACTGGAAGGCCTATATTATCCACGGTACTCACTGTACCCAATTAGTGCGCGAGGACAAAGTAGCTTATAAGCATGTTTAGCCGAGCGATTAACTGCAAATCCTAAGTTTCTACACAAAGGCGTGCACAGCCTCCGCAAAGTGGAAAGTGAATTTCCCCTCTTCAAACAGCAGATTGTCTAACTCGGACTACTAAAGAAGCAACGAATATACTGCAACAACACTATAAACCAACGTTTCATTACAACCCGTGGTCTCCTGAAACTTTAGAATCCATGGTGCCCATACCAGAAATCACCCATATAAATTTTGTGGCATATACCTTGATGAGAAAACTGCCGTCCATGCGCGGGCACACCCGTCCACCAATTGACGACAACCGCCCACGGAAGCTTGTTGTAATGGCTAACGTTTCGTCTGAACCATTGGAGCGGCTTGTTCCAGCACTGCATTGACAAGAGGCACGTTCCTCCACTGTGGAAACACGGTATAGTAACTCCCATTTGCTAAGGGGATAATCGTTCCGACGCAGATAAGTATCGACCAGTGACTGTTCTGCCAGTACTTTCAAAAGTTATGGAGGTTATCATTGCCGACGCAATCATGTCTTATCTGGATGGCTTTGTTTACTTTGCTCAACAGAAACAAGGCTTCCGCCGGAATCGGTCGTAAACAACCAACCTATTGTTAGCACGAGACAGCTGGACCTAAACGGTGGATGCTAGTGCAGCAGTTGATGTGGCTTATCTTGATTCTTCTAAGGCGTTCGACAGATTGGACCATCGTATTCTTCTCGCCGAACTACAAGGATGTGGATTTGGGGACCCTATCCTCGGGTGGATCTATAATATTCTCTCACAGAGTCGCCTGGAGGTGAGAATACGTGAATCTATGTCAGACCCAATTCACGTCGAATGCGGTGTGCCACAGCGTTCGGTAATGGGGCCCCGTCTATTCGTGGTCTTCATCGACGATCTAGTGAGCCAAATCACGACAAAGCGTTTATCCTGCGCCAATGACATCAAAGTTTGGCAAGTGATCAGAGCTCCGGAAGACCGTATCCCGCTTTAAAACGAGCTTGACAAGATTTATGGATGGTCGGTCCAAAATCGCCTGTTATTCAATGTGACTAAATGTCTTGTGCTCCATTTACGACAATGAAAGTTTCACCTATATAAGCTGGGGGACCAGGAACTACAACACAGTTCTCCTGAAAAAAGGACCTTGGTGTGCTTGTCCAGGAAGTTCTCGACTGCTAGGATTAGTCCAAAAAAGCATCGAGGAAGGGCTCCAACTCGTGGGGCTTTTACGGAGAGCTTTCGGGCAATTCGAACCGTCTATTTTCTGCCAAATACTTCCCGCTTACATACGCCCTCATGATGAATATGGAATTCAAGCATGGCCTCCATGGCTAAAGATGGATCTCACGGCCTTGGACATTCCACAACGTCGGGCGACTAAAAATGTCAAGTGACTGTGCCATCTGTCATACGAACAGCGCCTCAGGGTGCTTGGCATTTTCAGCGGACGTTATCGGCGTTTGCGTAGTGACCTAATCATAGTTTACCAATTGCTAAATAACACTAATCACCCGTACCATCACCTGTTGAAGCTGAGTCACAATAACAAACTGAGAGTTTCTGATCTCAAATTGGCAGAACAATACAGTCGGAGCATCAAAGAAATTTCTCGCTGCTTGTTTGCCACATGTGGAATGCTCTCTCAGAAGCAGTTATTCCCGCCCCACGTTAGCCGTGTTCAAAGCACGCGTTGCCAGTGCACTTGGCCGTACTACACCATAACACGTGACCCAGACGACCCATACAAACAGCAGAAAAAAAGCAAAGCAACCCACTTCCATTTTTGCCAGGAAATCACAGACGATGACCTTGGTAATACGCAAAACTAAGTGTGAAATGCTCAGACGAGAACACTGAAGCCGGCGAGTTCGCAATTTGCGGTTGTTCTCTATTCCCTATTGCTATTTTTGCCTTTATTTTGCTCACCCCTAACCGATCATCCAGCGGGACATGTCAAACTTTGGCTTTGTTTCTCCGCAATATACCATGGACCACTGTGGGCAACCGCTGCTAGAACATGTCGATTAAGTGATTTCCAGAGTTTCCAAGCCCAACCCGACAGTAAACATCCCAAATACTCTGCACACCACTTTGAAACATCTATTTGACAAGAGAATCGATGTATGCAGACATATACAAAAGAGATACCAAAATGGCAGTGAGAGCACCAAGGATGCTCAAGGGTCATAACATTTAAGTTTAGCTTATCAACGTGAGGCTAACCTGATTGCGGTTTCCACTACCAAGTTCCCCAACCATAATCCACATTGTTTGGTAAGCCCACAAAAAGCCAGACTCAGATGCGTAAGAAAACGGGCTTTTGTCAATCCAGCACATAGGACTCGACATCCTTTATCTCCCAACCTAAAGGCCCCATTTCAGCATATTTCGATGAGTACTAGGACTTACTCATTGAAATCAAGCACCAGTTCCTTTAAACTCTTCGAAAGAGCCACGGAGCTGACAACAATGCTGATGCCTTTCACGTCCAGAAAGCAGTCAATAAGCTCAATGCGTGTGATCGGATAACACGAACGGGTTATAAGCCCAGCCTAAATATTGGCTAACTAAGCAATTCTGTCACTTGGTCAACCGCGTACATACAAGTGCCATGCAGTCGTCGTGTTCTAGGTGACAGTCCCACACGTACAACTCCTGTATATGAGTGTATCTTCGCGCTCGAATGGCGTCTATCAGAGGTAGAATTTTTGCCAGAGGTTTATCATCTTTTAAAGCTTTATATTTTGCGCGTCTTTTCTTGTGTGCACCTTCATCGGATTCTCCTGTCAGCGCCTTGGCTAATTTTTCATCATCCCAATACTCAACTGTGCGTCGATCTTGTGGATCCACTAAAAACTGAATGAGTAAATCAAATGGAGAAATTCGAAGTATACCTTTGTGACTAACCGCTCGTCCTCTAGTGCTTTTCTGAACTGTTTCCGGATGGAGTTAGCAACTGTGGTTTCGTATTTTTCCGCCCTTATTTCATAGTCCCTTAGAAGTTCTTTCATAGACCTTATAATAGCTGTTTCTGACACCTTCAGAGAGGATTATCGGAATAAAAAGGAACCAACCTTTTTGAGACCTGCGCCAACTTGTAGTGGTTTAGCCATCCTGCAGAGAAGTGGGGGTAAAAATGGTCATTTTACAAGTGGATCAACTGGTGAAGAGTGTATAGCATGAAATGTGTCCAGTATTTTTCCTGGTTGAATTCATAGGTGTGAAAATGCGCCTTCCATAAAAAAAGAGCATTAAGCATGGCTATCAAAGACGTGGGGTTGGAAAGATTGAAAGCTATTTCAAGATTTGTCTAACATGAGTGAACAGAAATGCCAGTCTGTCAGCAGGGAAAATGGGACAGCGGCGGTCTTTTAGCGCCCTCCTTCCTCCACGCAGGAGATGAACTTTTATCTGGAATCTGCAATAAGGCGGAAGATAAACAAGAAGAACACTGAAATCCTCATTACTGTAGATTTCAACGTACACGCTCAGGAATCCGAAGCAGCTCCAGGAGAACAGATCAAAACCGATCTACAATAGTTTGTCTCCAGTTACTCGCTGTATGGTCACATCAACACTCCCACACAAATCCGAGAAAAAGGATCGATATCCACCCACGAAGAACCAATGGTCAAGAGGGGAATTGTCAACGTCCCCCTCGGGCCGCAGGAATCATGTAGTTCTACTTTTCGAACACATTTGATATGCAGAATATCCCGTGAAAATTACCGACGCAACAAAAACGATTATACGTTGCGACATAGCTTGACTAGGTGAGACAGCCAATGGACCTGTCTGGTAGGCGAGGCACCAGCTAATGCATGGGAGCATTTCATCAGCCAGTTTAACTCTCTGGTTGCTGAAGCATCATTGACTGAGACCTTCCGTCCGAGAAACGTGTTCTGGCTTCTAGGAAGCAGGACACCCAAGTGCATAGTGGTGCGAAACTCGGACTGGCTTATCTATAAGCTCTCTCCGAGCATCGAGAAATGGATGGCCTATACGACCCAACGGAACCACTGTACTCAGCTTGTTCACAAAGACAGCACGGCGCACCATCAGTAGTGGGAATGCGTATGGCCTAAAATCACAAGCTTCCGTATCAACACGTCAACAGTCTACGTAAGCTGAAACGGGGAGTTCCTCCTTTTCAAACAGCGGACGGATCCTGAAGGATGCGGCAGATACCCTGCGATTCCAATAGGCTGCAACATTACAGTGTGATCACAGGCCATTTAAAATTATCATAATGGTTATTTCACTTCCAAAACTCACTCACAGATGCTTCACTACGGAAGCTGTATAAAAAATGCTGCTGTGTATGCGCATGCACAGCTCTCCTGGACTCGATATTTTACACACGAAACCGCCAGCGGCTTTAGCATAGAGTTTAGCTGATAGTTTGCCTCTATTCTTCCAACACTGTTTTGACGAAATGTATGTATTTACAAGGGGAGACATTCGTTCTAATCCAGCTAAATACCGTCCATTTAGCTTACTGTTGGCTTTTTCAGAGCTACTGGAAGCTATGATTGCTGATGCGCTAACGGCTTACTTGGAAGAATCTAACTACCTCGCACAGGAACAGCATGACTTCCGACGAAATCGATCGTGCACTACAAATCTACTATTCGCACGATCCATCTGGACTGAAGCAGTAGACTCTGGCACAGAACTTGACGTCGATATTCTCGACTTCGCAAAGGCGTTCGACCGGTTAGACGATAACATTCTGCTCTTCAAATATCAGACTTTCGATGTTCATTATCTTTTTCAAGAATGGATCAAAAGCTTTCATTTACACCGGCGTTTGGAACTACGACGGCGTGCTTCGTTGTCAGATCCAATCCGAGTTGAATGTGAACTACCACAGTGATCGGTACTAGGATCGCGGGCATTTTCAACGCGCCTCTTAAGCTCGAGCTACCTGCTTTATGCCAATGACAGCAAGGTTTGAAGGGGATCAATACCTTAGATGATATAACAGTACTTCAAGTTTATCTGGGTAGGGTATACTTCGATTCAATGTGGGCAAATGTAGAGTGATGCAATTACGGCACAAATTGATGTACCCCTACAAACTCTGCAACCAGGAGCCTCAAATGTCTTCTGGCTAAAAGGATCTGGGAGTTTTGGTCCAGGTCGAGTTCGGATGTCCGAAACTGTCTGAAAAGGCTTCAAGGAGGGGCAACCAGCACGCGGACCTCCTGAAGTGAGCATTTGGACGATTAGACCAAACGATTTTTCCACAGCTTCTCCACTCATACATACGGCCACATGTAGAATACGCAGTACAGTTCTGGCAGCCATGGCTGAGGAGAGTTGTCACCGCCTTGGAGATACCTCAACATCGGACAACCAAGAATGTTAAGGGTCTGTATAATTTGTCGTATGAACGAAGACTTCAAGTGGTCGGGGTCTTCAGCGGACAGTATCGCGATTGTGCGGGGACCTCATTTTGACATAAAATATTTTGTGAGATCCCAACCACACGTGCCGCTACTTGCTATAGCTCAGTCACAATAGCAAGTTGAGAGGCCATCATCTCAATCTGGCCAAGCAGCACAGTCGCTTAGAATACCGTCGAAATTTATATTCTGTACGCGTTTGCAGAAGGTGGAATGGCCTACCGGAATCTGTCAAATGTGCTGTCACGCTGGCAGAGTTCAAAGCCCGAGTTGGCCGTGCACTTATTTCGCTGCACCATCTTACATAACCCATTACCTATGGATAAACACAAATGTCAGTAATAGATTTCACTAGCGATCAAATCCCAGATTTGGTTTCAGTTTTTCACCTCCTGTATGTATACACCAGGAGGAGATATGATTTTGGCCAACGTCCCACTGACCGTCATTCTTTATGGATTTACCTTGGATGTACAGTTTATACTACATATACCTTTGTGAGTCCGCCGATGTAAACCTATCATTGCTAACAATTTTGCTATATTTTGAAGTTTCACCATGGCCATCCTTCGAGACCTGTTTCGCTTTTTACCCGTAGAAATCAATTGTTCCATTACAAACTTTCCCGCACTCACTTCCGTGAACCAGTTGAAAAGTCTCGTAGGCATGCTAAATTTCTAGTGCCAACTCATTCCAAACTCCACAGTAAGATCAATATTCTTTTGCTGATACCACTTTGCTTTTCAACCTGCGACCTGATGCTCCGCGGTCGTTAAATGTTAATGCATCAAATACCGCTATCGGAACTGTCTTGCAGCAAACCGTCGATAAAGTCCAACAACCATTTGGATTCTTTTCCTAGAGGCTCACGTCAACCAAAGCTCGATACAATACATTTGATCGTGAGTTTCTCGACAAATAACCAAGTATTCTCCACTTTCGACATCTCCAAGCAAGATGAAAGTTTGTTGTGTTTGCAGATCACAAGCCCTTGACATTCACTGCACAGACTAAGCAGGACAAGTACTAGCCTCCTAATCTATGTCAACTAGACTTTGTTTCACACTACACGAGTGATATCAGCCATACTTGCTGACGAGATAACAGTATTGCTGATAAAGCGTCACGCCTACAGGTCGATTTTGTGAACACGTCTCCCCTGATCTGGAACGCATGGTACAACTACAAGAAGACGAAACACTTTAGTCTTAGGTGAATTACAACCAGCTTTCCCTGGACATCCAATAAGTACCACTGCACACTACACAAGGTAAGATTGTGATGTTCGCACGACAATTCCAAGACCCTTGGCTCCCGCATCTATAAGCAGAACCGTTTTCAAGGATCTTCATAACGTCGCGCATCCAGGTAGACGTTCAAGTGTGAAGTTGATCTCCGAACACTTTGTATAGTCAAACATGAACAAACACGTCTACACATGGACAAAACTTGCTTATCATGTCAACATTCCAAAGTCAATCAGTATACTCAACCGCACCTTATAAGTTTCAGACAACCAGACAGCAGATTCAACTATACCCACATCGATATCACCGGACCCCTACAATATTCCACTGGTAATTCATATATCATAAAACGCATCTATCGTTTCACTTGATATTCAAAATCCATTCCTATTGCAGGCAAAGGTGCAGAAACCATCACCGGTGCATTTATCATAGGTAGATAACCATTTTCATTGTTCCTTCCTATTTCACAACTGACTACGATTCCAAATTCGAATACCAGCTTTCAAAGTTTGACGGAACTTTCCGGCTGCAAAAGGATTCGAAACACAGTTCACAATTCAAGGTGAACGGTTTAGTTGAGCCTTCCAATCGACAGTTAAAAACCGCGATCAAGGCACACTCTGATCCGACTCACTAGACACACATAATTCCCATGATATTGTTCTATTTGTGTACAATGTTTCGAGAAACACTTCAGTGTTCAAGCACAAAACTGGTGTTTGGAACCAAATTTTGCATCCCTAGTCAATCTTTCACCCCATTAGTCAACAGGAACATTGACCCGTTGACTTATGCCACTAACTTAAGGAATCACATGAAACATCTTCACTATTGCACATCCACGAGTACAGTTATATCATCATACGTTCAATCTGATTTCTTTTCGTGGACTCGTATTTTTATCCAAAATGCCAGGGTGAAACAGTCTTTACACTCTCCATATGAGGGTCAATTTCTCGTTCTTAAACGTCATTCTAAGCGTTTTACTGTCCATGGTACACACTAGAAAATGGAGCGACTGGGGATAAACTCAGTGGCGTAGCAAATACTTTGCCCCCCCCTGGCAGTTGTAAATCCGAAAATCCGCACAATTGCGGCCAGACCTTACATATTTGGATTTGCATAAAACAAAGATTAAATTTAAAGTACTACCGTGAATGCGAGTATTTATATTGCTATAATGATGGTGAGCAAAAGTTTACAGATACATTTTTAGTGCATTCCTTGAGCCAATAGTATTGATAACACCAACAAAATACAGTCCATTCGCGAATTCCCTCTCTATATGGAGAAGTGCTGGTCGGTGAACCTTGTCTGGTTCATTGATGATTGAAAGTAGTTCGTGATAAGCTTGTGTTTTGAGAATGCGCTCTCACAGCCTGTAATGTTTATAGTTCGATAAGAAAGATGCGCAGTAGACTCCCTAAAGTGATATTTCTGTATGAAGTGCAAAAGTGCAGAAGGTCCATTAATTGTGTCGTTTCCTGAAACATTCGAAAATGTCGTATTCTCCTTTCCGCACGGAATTCCTATGTTATACATAGAATTGAAGACTGGTAGCTCAGGTTGTTCAGATGGCCATTGAACTGTTCGCTGCGCTTGGCACGCCGCACAACTACGCACTGATGATGTCACGAGGTAAAACAGTGGGTCCCCTTCAGCCATTTGGTCAGAGCAGTGAGAAGACATATGTTGCGATATGTTAACATTTCGATTGTTCTCATCAGTCGCAAACACAATACAAGCGGGATTCATGGACAGTTAT